TTTTTATTTTTACAAATAACAATATTACCGGCAATTATACATTTGGTTGCAATGATGAATTCATGTTCACATCAATTTAAACATTATATGATAAATATACAATTTTCAATGAAAAATAATTCAAAAATTAAATGGCAAATAAATGAATTTTATGAACGTTTAACAACCACTGATAAAGGTTTTGGTCTATATTGTGGCCGTATATTTTTAATTGATTATAAAAATTCATTTCAGGTATGTTTGAGAAAACCGAAAAAAAACAAAGCACATTTCAATTTCATTTGACTTTTGATTTTTTTTTTTTGCATTTGTTGTTGCAGATATTGATTTCATATTTTGCCATAATGTTAATTATGTTTAAATTTTTTCATAATAATGGAATCTGAACAAACAGACCAAAGAAAACATACAATAACCGGTGAATAATAAATGTATAGCAAGAATGAATTTCTTCGATCTGTTTTTTTCCAACAAAACCGGAAAAAATATATATTTTCTCATAAAAAATTGAATTTTGACAAACTAAGTAAGTTATTTCAGTTTGAAAACATTTTAGAATCAATCTTTTTTAGAATTTATGATTCAATAGTTTTATCGTTTTTGTTTTTTTATAGAAACGACAACAAAAAAAAATCAATTTGTTTTTCGCATTTGTTTTTTTCTATTTCATTCAATTTTTGGTCGCATTCGTGAACAATAATATCAAGATTGTTTCCAATTTCCATTTTCAAAATTAGCCATGATGTTTTTAGATCGTATAAAATATTATCATCAATTTGAACAAATATTGGATCAAAAAAATCGTCAATGGTGGATATATGAATTTATATTGCTTACCATTCAAATCGGACGTTTTTCATTCTATGTGATTCTTAGTTTTATGGATGAATCCGTTTTACGATCATATTGTCCATATGATACAACCGCTGCACCATTATTTGATTATCAAAACAATGAAACATCATTAAATATTATCGAAAACCGTCTAACATCGATTATCTTTTTAATATTTTTCATTTTTATTTTATACAGTCATTATATATTGTTTTTAACTGATCATAATTCAATAGCATGGCGTTTATTATATGATGTTTCTAATCGTAATTATGATCAATATCGTGATTCAATCATCAATGAACAAAATATTAGTTTCACTAAATCGGTAATTAAAGCGTTATCTTATGACAATAATAAATTTGAAGAATTCATTTCAAATTCATCAACGAAAATAATGCATAACAGTTTAGCAAGAATAATGAAAAAAAATCCCAAAAGTTTTATTGATAAATTAATCATACAGTTAATGTTATATATTGATCTTTATAAATTTGAAAAATTACGTTTAAAAGTATTCAGCTATGCTGGTTTAAAACAAAGAATCGAATTGGCTATTACAATGTTTACTTTACATTGCATTGATGTTTTCATGATGATATTGGTTATATCAACTACATTCAATCTTGGTTGTTTAAAATATTTTAATTTTATCTACATTCATATGTGGAATTTATGGCCATTTGCTATAATCGATTGTATTAATCATTTTTATTGTGGATATATTCTTCTTCGAAATGGAATCATTTATTTTAATTTTGCTTCAATGAGTCTTATATTTTTTTCATTACAAATGAATTCATTAAATAAAAATATCATCGAGCTATTTGTCAAACGTAAACATTTGACAAACAATTCAGGATTGAATTATTTACGTAATTTGTTTTGGGGACGATTTCAACGACAACATCAACATATGACCTATTGTATGATGTATAGTGGTCATGATGTTTGGAATAATGTATATCTTATAGCCGTAATGGCTAATATTCCATTGAATATAGTTTGCATTTATAATCTTGTATTCAAATCAAATTCATGGAATAATGAATTAATATCGTTAGGATTTTTAAGTGCTCAAATGTATATTCTTTCAGCAATCATGGCAATGACATCGACCATTCATTTTTTTGCTAATCAATTTAAACGACAATTACCAGCAATACAATTATATATGAAAGATCCATCGATTAAATGGCAGGTTCATGAATTTTATGAACGTTTAACAACTACCGGTATTGGTTTCGGTTATTATTGTGGTCGCATCGCTCTTATTAATTATCATAATTCTTTTCAGGTATTTTGTCAATATTTCGGTTAATCAAACAGAAAATTTTTACATTTTTTTTCCTTAATTTCTAAATTCAGCTTTTAATATCATATTTTGGTCTAATGCTAATAACGTTTACATTTTTACGTAATAATAATCAATAATTTTTCAATCAAAAAAAAATGATCATAATTATCGAACTGATAAAAAACATGATAACCAATGGAATTTCAATCGTTTATTGGAAGTGAAGCGAATATTAGTTTAGTTTTTTTTTGCTCTAAATTTTTCACCGGAATTTCGTCATAGAAACTTAAAAAATTGATTAATTAATCATGTTTTTTTTTCAGTCATCAAATTAAACAATAAAATAAACAAAAACAAAAACATTCATTTTATTCTTATATAAGGATACGTTAATATTTATCCTTTTGCAGCTACGGCTTCTAATTGTAAATCAGGAATGTTGCTTATAAGAATAATAACAAAACATTGTTTGTAAAATAGATTTAATGAAGAAAGATTAACAAAATAAAAAACAATAACAAATTACAACATGCATGAGATGTACCAGCATGCGGATGAGGTGATTGTGTCTGAGCACCATCATGTCAATGAGGCTTCTGAACACCTTCATATCGAACAAGGATTATTCAATGTGTTTAAATACAAAATTATGTGTGACAATTATTGATGATCTTAGCAATGTACAAATGATTAGCTGAATAGGCTAAATCTCTAAATCAGGCGATGATCGATATCACCTTATCAGAACCATTAAACCAAGTCAGCACAAAACTTGTTGTCAAGCCATGAAAAACTTCCACGTAGACAATCAAGGATTTACACATCCTTACATCCCCCTTCATCAATATCTTCCTGGGTAAGGCAGACGAAAAAACAAACAATTATTACTGCGATTGACTTTACCCATTACCAAACAATATTGCATTCGATGACCATGCAACCAGTTACTGTATCCCACAATATTTTGTACAAGAAAAATATTCCAGTTCGATCAATAAAAAAACAATTTGTTATCCAAAATAAATGGACTAGGTAACCATGAGATTACGATACCAGATCTTGAGATTCCATTTATCAGTATCCATTTTGATTACATTTCTTCAATTTACGGCGGTTGATAACTGATTTTATTTTCAAAATATACCACCATTTTCCGATAAATTTAACAATATCCCGATAGACATTGTATTTTGTCCGTTCGTTACCAAAAATTATGGGCTTTACATATTCATATGTACTTTCCCCTTTCCCAACATTTTCGTACGGTATACGGAATCGATTGATGTTGATTTTCCATTTTACAAGTTCTTTTTTTCATTATTTTCGTTCTTTTCAAGCCATTTTCGTCATCTTTTTCTTTGATTTTCCAATATTTCCAATTTTCATTCCAGTTTTCGTTTTCAATATTTTCCAAATAATTTCAGATGATTTTCTTTTCATTTCTTTAGGCTTGAATTTTGTTGAAAGCAATACTTAATTTCTTGATCATTTCGATTTCGATAATTTTTTCATTTTTATTAAACCACAGATTCATTTATCATTTTCCAGTACTTGATTTTCATTCCAATATTCAAAATAACAAATTTTACCAATTATTGAACAATTTCAATATTGCTATCCAAAGATGATTTTTCAGGTTACTTTACATTAGAATCATTTTGTTGTCTTCGAAATTTAGTGCACGTTATCCAAAAACTTTAAAACAATTCTCTGTGAATCCATAATATCATCTGCTGTTGTTACTTTGTCGTTCAGTCGATGTTCAAAACAATATTCGTTCTATTCCATTGATGAAACTGTTCATTTTCTTTCATAACCAATTTTCTGATGATCAATACTTTATTTAAAAAAAATTCATTGATGTTCGATTTGCTTTCAATTTTTCCCTGTTTATCTTTTCTGTTTTCTTGATGATGAACCGATTAGTACTTTTACTTCTGTTGATTTTCTTTTGATCGGTATTTCTTTTGATGATAAACAATTTTTCTTGATGATAAAAAAATTAGATTTTTTCTTTTCTGCAATCTGTTGACTGATTCGGATTTTCCATTCTTTTCTTGTGATGATAACCAGATTGACTAATTTTGCTGACGATTTTTCTTTTCTGATGACACAAAAATTTCGATTTTCTTTTTTTTTTCTTTTAAAACAATAAATTTTGACACAATTTTTGACTTTCTTCGATTTTCTGTAAAACAATAAATTGATACCAATTTCGAGGTATTCTGTTCCAAAACCCAATGAATTCATACCAATTTTGACATTTTCTTTTTCTATTTCGTTCCAAAACAATAAATCAATACAAAAAATTTGAAGTTTCCTTTGACCAATTTCCAGAATTTCTTCTTTATCTGTGAAATATTTTAATTTCATCCATTGAAACAATAATCTTTGGACCGTCTTTAAAAAAACCAAATATTTAGACGTTCCCTGTATATCCAAAAAAATTCAGACGTCCTCTGTGAAAAAAAAACCAAAATATGGACCGTCTTCTGTAGAATCCAAAAATTTAGATCATCTCTTGCATACACTTCTGGGGTAGCAAATTCTTGAGATGTCTTCCCGAAAAATTAATCCATAATCTATTGGACTTATCTGTTGCCAATTAGATTTCGTCTGTAGAAATTCAATAATACTGTAGGTCAAATTCTTGGAACTTCTGTCGATCACAATAAATCGTTATTATCTTCTTGACAAGTTTGCTAGGCTTGCCGTATAGCTTGTGTGCAAGTTCGCTAGGCTTGCAGCTTCTCACAACAATATCGATGATTCACAATAATTCATACATACGATCAAAATTCTGCAATATTCAAACGATTGATAATCCATCCAGTTGATATTCAGCTTGATCCATCCTGTTGGCTTATAAGGATACGTTAATATTTATCCTTTTGCAGCTACGGCTTCTAATTGTAAATC